CCTTGTGCTTGCCAGGCAAGCGCTTATTCTACTGAGCCATCTCCCCGGCCCCAAAATGGCAGAATGATTTTTTTTTTTTTTTTTGGGCTGGCTCAGAATGCCTTCAGGGTATGTTTGGCTGGCTTGAGTTGTGGGGATCGAACCACAGCAACCTGAGGCTGACTGCTTTGCTGAAGCAGCCACTTAAACAACTGAGCTAAGGGGCAGGCCCTTCCTTTTTCCTTTTTTTAAAGAGGTGTGGTTCACCATGTTACCCAAGCTAGCCTCAAATTTGCAGTCTCCTGCCTCAGCCTCCTAAGTAGCTGGAGTTACAGGTGTGCCACCATATCTAGCACTGCTTTTTTTTTTTTTTTTTTTTATCATTTCCAAATCTCCAGGGCCAGGAGACGAAATGGGTATTCTTGTCCCCACTAACACTTTCAACTATCCCTTTCCCTTTCTTATGAAAACTGCTATTTCTCTGAAGCCTAACACATGTACCTACACTAACCTCTTCTTCCCCCTTTTTGTTTTTGTTACATGCCAAACTCCTGGCCATTCCTTTCCTTCACTGAAGGCTTGAGCTTAATCTTAATTCTCCATCTTCTTTCCTGCCTACGAATATGCCCACTATGCACTATGTGGAAAAGTGTCACAGGCAACAAGTTCACACTGGGGTATTTCACTGTCACTCATCCTGTTAAGTCACAACAGCTCCCTCCTTCCAGTACGTGCTTCCATCAGCTGCTTGAATCAATAATCTTGACTCTTGCTGGACCTGGTGCCATAGGCCTAGAATCCCACCACTCTGGGAGCACGAAGAGGGAGGATCACAAGTTCAAGCCCAACCTAGGGAAACTTAGTGATTTAGTGAGGCCTTGTCTCAAAATAAGAAAGGCTGGGATATGGCTCAGTGCAAAGGCCCTGAATTCCATCCCCAGTACCCGCTCCTTGATTCTGATTCCCTATAACAACTCCTGTCTACCCACTTGTGAGCGCTAGTGTGTCCACTTCACAAAGGCTCTCAACATGGGAAGAACAGTTTTCTGACCAACTGATGCCGGGACAACTGGACAGCCCCACAAAAAGTTCACAGCATATATAGATATTACTTCAAAATGCACTAAAGATCTAAATATAAAAGGCAAATTATAAAACTCTTAGAAGGAGGGGCCAGGGAGATAGCTCAGTGAGATAAGTGCTTGCCTGGCAAGTGCAAGGTCCTGATTTCAATCCCTGTTACCACCAGAAAAAACAAAAACAAAAAAACTCTTAGAAGGAAACAAATATAAATGCTTGTACTCTTGGATTAAGCAATGACACCTTTAAAATGACACTGAGCACACACAACAAGGTGAATATATTAAACTTCATTGAAGTTAAAAACTCTTGCGACTAAAGGACACTATCAAAGCGAAAAGATAACCTGCAGAATGGTAGGACATATCTGCAAATCATGGATCTGATAAGGGTCCACTATCTAGACTATATTAAACACTCTCACAACTCAACGTAAGAAGATAATTTCCTTAAAATCTAGCAAAGAACTGAGCTGACATTTCTCCAAAAAATATATATAAATGGCCAATAAGCAGATAAAATGATGTTAAATATTACTAATCTTAATGCAAATTAAAATCATGAGAAACCATTTCACAGCCACTAGGATAACAATACTGTAATTAACTCCCAACCCCTCAAAAACACAACAAAAATGCCTGAAATAGTATATCAATTGTGTAAAATAGTTTGGTGGGTTCTTAAAACATTAAACATAGTTACGACATGCCTCAGCAATTACAATTCTGTGTGTGTATGTTTGTTTTTTTGAAATGTATTTGGTAAAGGGTATCACTATGTAGCTTGGACTTGTAGTGACCTCTATTTTCAGCCTCGCTAGAACTGGGATTATAGGTGTGTGCCACCACACCTGGACTCAGTTGCTGGCTCAGTGCACCAAGGGGCAGGGCTGGTGCTGCATGTGGTGCTGGGGATCAAACCCTGGTTCCTGTGCTTGACTAAGCAGGTGCTTAGTCCATTGAGCTACCTCGCAGGCCTTCCAGTGTATATATTTGAGAGAACGGAAAAGACACATTCACATGAAAACTTAGATACGAATGCTTACAGCAGCTTTGGGGGGGGCGTGTGTGTGCAGCAGTAGAGATCAAATTTAGGCTGCTCCTCCTCTGAGCAACAACTCCACACCTTTTCAGACAAGGCCTTTAGCCAGGCATGTGCACCTGTAATCTCAGCACTCAGGAGGCTGTGGCAGGAGGATCGTTGAAGGTTGAGACCAGCCTGGGCTACAAAGTGAGCTCAAGGGCAGCCTGAACTGCATAGTGAGACCTTGTCTGAAAAAGCAAAAAAGAGAGAAAAAGAAAAAGAAAGAGAAAAAAAAAAGACAAGGCCAGGCTGGGGAGATAGCTCAACAATCTAAATGCCTGCCTGGCAAGCCCAAGGACCAGGGTTGGATCCCCAGTACCACATGCTTTGCTGTCCCTGGGAGCTGAGCCTGCCACTGAAACTGGGTGTGGTGGCGCATGCCTATAATCCCAGCGCTGGGGAGGCTGAGACAGGAGGATCACTATGAGTCTGGGCTGCGTAGTGGTAAGACCCTGTACCAAATAAACAAATAAAAGATATTAAAAAAAAAAAAGACAAGGCTACCCTCTCTTGCCCAGACAAGATCCAAACTTGTGACCCTCCTGTCTCAGTCTTCCCTAAGAGTTAACATTATAAGTACATACTTCTATGACTAACTCATAGTGGAAATATCTATAATAACCAAAGAATGAAACAACCCAAATGTCCATTAACTGATCAGCGGATAAACAAAAGTCCCTATAATGAAATATTACTCAGTCATAAAAAGGAATAAATAATATTCTGTAATGTGGATGATGCCGAGAGAGAAAACAGGCATAAAGGGTTAGCTATGGTATGAACCACGTATAGGAAATGTCTACAATAGGCAGGTCCACAGAGAAAGACAGTGGGTTAATGCTGATAGATGGGATGAGCAGGGAGTTGGGAGACACGGGGCTTCCTCTTCAGGTGACAGAAATGTTCATGAGTTGGATAATGGTAATAGCTCTATAATACTGTAAATATATATTTTAAAAACAGAATTGTACATTTAAAATGGTTCGAATGGTTAATTTTATGTTTTATCTCAATAAAAAGTTGAAAAATACAGATTTAAAAATCATCCCTGGGGAATTCCTCCTTGGGCCTCCTCCTGTCTCTCTCTTGCACAGGAGCTTTCTTTCCCTCAATAAATACATTCTGCTCATTTAAAAAAGAAAGGAAGGAAGGAAGGAAGGAAGGAAGGAAGGAAGGAAGGACAGATAGATCATCCCAAAATAGGGTGTGGTGGCACATGGCTGTAATCCCTGCACCTGGGAGAGTGAGGCAGGAGGATAACAGAGTTCGAGACCAGCCTGGGCTTCAAAGTGAGTTCAAGGCCAGCCTAAATTGTATAGCAAGATCTTGTCTCAAAAAGACAAAAAAAAAAAAAGCAAAACAGTTTTCTGTATCTCTACTGGCACCAAAATACCATCTGTACAACTGGCCCTACTAACTCTCCCTCATTACCTACTCTAAACACACATGTGTGCACATGTTCACACTTGCCCTGCTTGTATCCTTGCTTGCATCTCCACTATCAAGACCTTACTAGGTGCTACTCAGTGTGTCTAAAAGGCACTTTCCTAATTTTTGTGGGCCTGGCCATCCTTTAATGTGTGATCTTGTGCAAGTCATTAATCCATAAGACTCTCGTAAGGATTCCTGTTTACTGTGATTATTCATTCACCTCATATGATTCCTATTCAGAGAAACCATCACTAACAATGCTATAGGAAAAAGCTCCTCTCCCAATTATTCTCTTACAAACATCCTGTTCATTTCCTTCATAGCGCCCAACAATTTAAGATTATGTATTTCTGTCCTTTTCAGTCATGCGTTCATCATTAGCCTCTGAACTTCCTCAAGGGCAGTGACTATGTCTGTCTGTTTACTGTGTCACACATGATGACCAGTACTGTCTGGCATATTGAAG